AAAAAAAATTATGAAACAATTTCTTAGTAATTTCTTCAATATCAATTAAAAAGTGATAATGAGCAAGAATTTTAAAATGAGTTCTTTGGTAAATGGAATAAAGCGATTCCGGCATCTAAAGATTCTTATAATGAGAAAAAATAAATTGTTGAAATGTTCAAAAAGGAATTGAAACAAAATCAATTCAAGATTTTAGAATCTATGAAAGGAACTCTTCTTTATGTAGATATATTTCATAAAACTTTCGAGGAAAAGCTATATGAATCTTATGATAATAGTTTGATAAATATTGGTTAATATTATGTTTATTAGCTAAATATCGAATTTATTACAAAATAAAACTTTCTGAATTATATCAATTTACATTCATCAAAAAATTATGAAAAAAATCAAAATTAATAAAAGGCATTTCAAGATGACTTGTGGTTGTAGATATAATTATATAGAGATAGAATTTAAAATCTTTCAAAATAAAAAGCTCAAGACTCGACATCCTATGAGAATTCTTATATTAAATAAATAAAAGAATTTTTCGTCATTCTTGATTTATTTGGATTTAGTTACAATTAAAAAGAGACCGATAATTTAATTGAAATTATAAAATCAAAGAAATGGTATAAATTTTGGAATTCACATTAAGAAGAAATTTAAAAGGGAATAGAAAAATTTATGCAAACGATAAAAGATACAAATAAGCCATTAGATATTATATAATAAGATATAACCAAAAACTTTAAGAGTTTTTATCCATCGCTTATCATCTAGAATGAAAAAAAGACATTTTAAACTTTAGATGAATTAAATAAATTTAATTGTCCAGATTATATAGTCTATCATGAAGTAAAAATTGTTCCTGAAATTAATGATAAAGATTTGTAACCATCGCTTACATATATAGCTACAAAAGAACCTAACAAATAAATATCATAAACATTATATTAATTATGCATATAATCCAAATTAGCATTTAATCAATTATTATGAATTATAATATCTAATTTTTTTATCATTTTTCATCATCTAAAAGTAATAGATTGAAATGAAAATTAAATAGTTTCCAAAATATGATTATAATTACTTTATTTTGATAAAATTTAATAATATGAAAATAGTTATTATACTAAATCATAATAAAGTATCATATCTATCTAATAATTATTTCTTGGTCATAGATCTAATTTCTAAATAAGCATCCATTGTTGGGTCTAAATAATATTAATCAAATTTATTTACCAATATTAGAATTCATAAATTTATCAACTTATAATGCATCTAAAACTTATAAACAATGTGTCAAAAGGTTTTTCTCTTAATTAGTATCTAAGAAAGCTATATAATTATTTTATTTAATTTAGTTAACATAATTTTTAATATTTTATCTATAATTATCTTTGATATCTAAAGATTAACCATCCAATATAATTTTATATTCTTTTAATCCGATGGTCAATTAATCAACTTCTTTCGTAATAGTTTCAACTAATCTTGTAAATTCAAAGTTGGATGATAATCTATTATCTTGTGACTACTTTAAATGGATAGATAATTTGTTTAAACTAAAATATTCAGTTGCAGTGGTGCATTACTTTTTAATCACGCTTAATAATTGTTATCCTCTATTATTAGCTAATAATAAAAGATAATAGGCAATTAAAGGAGATTCTTTGTTTTATGACTATTCCAAAATAGAATGTGCAGTTTAACACATAAATTAAACTTTGCATCTTTCATTAACAATCTCTTATAAGATACTGACATTATTATTATTACTATTTGAGGGTTATAAAACATTTTATTCTGGTTTATCTGAATAAATTTCCAAATCTCCACTAAACTCTCCATCATTTTTTAATGGGATTTTAAATAAATATTCCCATGTACAACGTTTATTTGGATCTTTTATGAGCATAGATTTAAGTAAAGTGATTGTTTGTTTAGTAAAATGAAATTATGGAGGTATCATCCAATCTGTTTCATCTTGGGCAGTAATTAATTTAGCAATAGATTTTTCTTCAAATGGACATTTGCCAATTAATAATTCATACAATACAGCTCCAAGACTCCAAATATCTGCCTTACTATTATAAGAAAGTCCTCTTAGTACTTCTGGAGCCATATAGATTGGTGAACCTAACATAGTGGCAGTAACATCATTTTTGATGGGTTTACAAAATCCGAAATCTGCTAATTTATAAATTCCATTATGAATTAAAATATTTGAAGGTTTTAAATCTCGATGGATTATAGAATTTTCTCTCAAGACTTTAAATGCTTAAATTAATTAATAAATGATCTCTAATGATTTCCTTTCTGTAAAATGTCCTTATAACAATAACAATTTGTCAAGAGGACCACCTGAACAATATTCATATACGAAATGATATTGATGAGAGGTTTTAATTAATTCAATGAACTTAACAACATATTAACAATGTTAAAGTTTTTAGAGTACCTCTATCTCTTGCATGCTTAATTCGAGTAATTTTGGTGTTTCATTAAATTTAGCCACATCAACACTTTTAATGGCAACAACTGATTGAGTAAGAAGATTTGTTGCTCTATAGACTTTTCCAAACTCACCTTATCCAATTTATTCATGAACCTTATATTATTCAATCATTTTTTTAACAGTTAAATTAATAAATCAAAACTATATTGCTCATTTGAATTGTTTAATAGTGTTTCAAATAATTACAGAATATTCATAGTAATAGGACACACTTTCTTCATCTATTCAGCTAATTCATGCAATTCTCGCAACCTTATACTCCAAATAATTATTTAGACAGCCTTGTCTATTGTTAAAATTTCATCGTAATTTTCAACTATGTATTTTTATAAAATTGCCAGATTGTGAGGGATAAATAATAAAGTGAAACTAGTTATCAAATATGATCTTTTGATTTTAGTTAATTGGCATTATTCAACTAAAAGTTAATAGAGCATAGATTATAATTATTGTTTAGATTGATTATTTGTAGTTAAAAAATAGAGATAATGCGCTAAATTAGTTGGCTATTCATATACAAATAGCCAAGGATTAGTAAGCAAGAAAGCTTCAAATTAACTAATTTATTCTTGCACTACTTAGTTCCAATTTGATTCTTTTATGAATTGTTTAATTTCATTCTAAAGTTCTGATTAACTTATCATAATTGTTTATAAAATTATTTATTTATGAATGTTGAAACA